GCAATATTTGCAATATTAAAATTAACTCAGGGGTACTTACTTTATGATTGAGTCTCTAGAACTGCTCATTTTCCTCACTTTTTTTGGAGAATATGCTAAATGTTTTGCTCAGAAATTTTTGGAGCCGCAATTGGCCTAATTGCAACGGCCGCTTCGTGAGATGTTGCAGCAAAATTCAGTCAATAAAATGTGTTACAAATCGTCAAGTCAATTTTTTCCAACCGATTGCGATGTTGTAATGAGAACAAATAATGCTGAAAATAGCATAAAAAAGCATTTTATCCTCTCATTAAATAAAAATAACAGGTTCACTCGAGTGCCTCAATGGCTGTAAATGAGTGGACATAATAAAATAGCTTAAAGAATGCCACTTTCCACCAAATGCAAGGCCATTAATGATCAACTTGGTACTCCAACATCTAAATGTGATCTTGCAAATGTTTTTCTGAACTTATCATGTCGCGATCAACAGTACCTGTTACAAAACTTTCTGACCAACTTCTAGCAATTCTCACAAAGGTTTCAAAGCTGCGAGACTGTCCGATAAAAAGTTACATTTTTTTACTTTTTAAAAAGTAACTTTTTTCATATTTAAATCAAAACTGTTGCCAACAGTTTGAAAATTGATTCGATTGGTTATTAACTTTAAAAAGACGCCTAATGGCTTCACAGAACGGTTTTCTTTTCGATCACCATGTTGTTTACAACGCGATCGCCATTACTCATTTGTCAAGCCTGTGGAATACTTTTTCTCACTAAGTGTATGTTTTGCAGACAAGGTGTTTGTCCATGCCAAGCGATTAACTGTACCAGGTAGGTATGATCGCTTTGAAAAGCACCAGAAGAGAAACTATAGATATAGCAATATGAGTCGGCTTAATATGGAAATGGTGCTTTGATCTTTTATTGGTCAGTGCTGAAGTTTGCTTGGCGATGAAGAAAGTAAATGATTAAGGAGCGTAATGGAAGTTGTTTCAGACGTTTCCTATAAAAATTGATTAATGGGAACAGGTGTTTAACAGTATCAAAACTTGGTGATAGTTTACGGTGTCCTTTACGTAGCTTTGATAGCTGTGGAATCAATAAGCTTAGCCTACAATGAGCATAGTTAAATCAGAACAGAGATCTTTATTCTGTGGTTAATGAACCTAAGTCAGCGATGAAAAAAAGCTTTCACCCTAGCTTACATTTGATAGAAAGCCACCGTGAAGATGTCGATGCTTTCAGTTTCAGAAGTGCTTCAATTGTTCACGTTCTTGAGCACAATCTCAATACCAAGAAAGCCACACATAGTAACAGTATCCCAGCTAAGATTATCAAAGATAACGTTTGCATAGTTGTCTCTCACCTGCTGACCTCTTCAACAAAAGAGTGAAAGAATAATTTTTTCCTAAAGGACGGCAATGTCAGTGCGCCTTTCAAGAAAAGTGACTCATTCCAAAAATAAGAACTATAGACCGATAACCGTATAACTTTCACTCTCTAAAGTTTTTGAGAGTCTTTTGACAAATCAAATGCTAGTTTTTGTTATGAAGTTTCCCTGGCCTAGCCTTTGCGTCTATCGACAGGATTGCAATGCTCAGAATCCTTTGTCTTGATTTGATATGATCATAGTCTATAGAAAAATTATGATATGACAGATAATCACGGAACTTGTAAGAAAACGTCAGAGGATAGGGGTTTTGTTATGGTAGCCCTTATAGACTTGTCTAAGGCCTTCAATCATCTCGTCCATGAACAAAATTGGTTTGCACAAATCTGCATAGATTTGAATGCGGAGAAATGCTATCTCCTCATATTCAGCAAGAAGGATACTGAAATCTCAATAAAATCGAAAAAAAATTGTACTACGAACAGCGGCTGTTTGGGAAATGTTAGGACACCGTAGTCTTATATGTCTCTCCTTGCAGCACTTGAACTTTTTACCACTAACATTTTTTTGAGATATATTCAGTCCAAGATGGCCCTTAATCTAATTTTACAATCTTGTTATACAAAATAACGTAACTACGCTTAAAAATGTTTATTTGCAGCGTTAAAACAGCAATATAACAGAACATAAAATTAAGTTTTACAGATTCATATCATAGACGATGATTTTTAGCACTATACTATGACACTGCGAAACGAATACAAAAAATTGCAAAATATCAACCTTTCTTTCTTTCAGTCTACATGAATTTGTGATGTATTCTGTGCTGAAGCTGATTGGAGTGAAATAAAGTTTCTTGACGTTATCAACACTCGAAAAAATTAAAAGGCAAGGATCAGCAATCGACAAAAATTTAGAATCTGTTGTCCGTTTCCTTTTCTTCGTTGTTGCTATTATTTTTCCATCACCGTGTAAGGAGAAAATCCTGTCAACGACTGAAAAATTGAACCATTTTTTATAGCTACCATTGATCAGCCAGTAAAACCTCTCTATGCCTTATGCAGCGTAGGAGCCTTCACACTGCTTTTGTGAAAAGTTCATATGTGCACCGATTGATTATTGCTCTCACCAAAAAATATTTACATTCCATGGACAAGACACTAGTCTAGAGCAGATGACGTCAACCTCTCCTTGAATGTCTTCAACTAGAACTTGCTTGCAATTTTAGAGGTCTTTGTGACGTCGCTTACTGCGCTCATTGGAGCAATTTGACTTCTGAAAATGAATCCAATTAAAAATCTTCTCACAACGCTGTTGCCATAAGCGAATAGGATAGCATTTACTAAAGCATTGAAAAACACAATTATATAAGACCAATATTCTAGTGCGTTTATGGTTAATGGAGGATTCCTCTTCTCCTGGTACTTGTAATACGTCCATATTATGGAGCAAATGTTGTACGGTAGATACAGAACCAACAAAGCACCCAGGACAAAACGAATCGTTTTCGTTGCCGAGATTTCTCGTCTCGTTTCTCGGTTACCCGAATTTTCTCCGGCATCTCTCAGCATTTTCTTAATTTTCTCCGCATGAGTGGCAATTCTGCGAAACACCATCGAATACAATATGAAAATAAACAGAATACCAAACAGATCGGATAAAGTCAACACGACTTGCAGTGGGAAAGAAGGAAACGCGATCGATATGCAGGCGATTATTGCCGATGTGATGAAGCTAAACACAACGATCACCTTCATGCGAAATTCGTTCATGAACTTATTGTACTTTTTGAGTTTCGTCACGTGAAGATACCGATCCATAGATACGCACATCAACATGAAAAAGGAGAAATATGCGAGAAGAAAGGCGCAATATTGAAGAACCAGTTCAACAACACAGTTGCGGTACATGCCATTCAAAGCTGCCTTTGCAGTAATGGATGGCATGATGAATATTCCAATGCCAAGATCTGAAATATTCATCAGGAGAATGAATTTGTTTGTGATCGTGTTTAGCTGCTCCATTTTGTACAGTCCATAAATTAGTGCTGCGTTCGAGACGATGGTAATTGGTGACAAAAGGGCGGTAAAAAATGACCAAGTGATCAAATGGAGCGACGGCATGTCTAATGGCCATAATGACGGGCAAAAGTATGGTTCTCCTGGGCACGAGCGGTTCATCTTTTCTTTTTTTTTAAGTCATGCGCCATTAATTCTGAATGCCAAATTTTACGAATGGCAATTTCCTTGTAGCGTCACTGTGTTCGCTTCATGTCGCTTTTGTGTCCGTAAAAGAGCAGTTTGTTTCTAAATGTGCGCTGCTCTGAAAATTCTCGCTAAAGATCATACGGAAAATCCACCTGAAAAGTTAAAGCCAGTACCACGAAGAGCATAAGACGGTAAAGATTATCATGTAACGGAATATCCTTAAGTTGATGATGGTTATTTCAAACTTTTTTTGAATTTATTCGTTTGCAATAGGAAGAATCTCGTGTGGATTAAACAGTACACTATGCTAATTAACGGCGACGACAAAAGGAAACGAAATACTGTTTTCTTAACGATGATAAAACAAACACTAAGTTTTTTGTAAATAAAGCAGAGGCGTTGATGGAATGGTTCAAATCTAGTTAGAAGAAAGTGTGTATTGAGCATTAAAAGACTATCGTCAACTTTAATAAAATTGATTGATATTAATCCCTCTAGTTAACAAACTGTACAAGATAAACATTTAATCTTAACGAAAAATCGACTTTGTGTTTGAAGTTTTTTAGATTATGGCACGAATACAAAACAGAGAAACAAAAATGTTCCGCAAAGGAAGAAGAAGGTCAAATAACCATTATTTTTATTCGAGAATTCTTGTAATTAACCAACGTATTCGACACAATACTATCAGGCATTGCATACAAATTACACTGGCTGCTTTTTGACTATCTTAAAGTGCAACGCATCGTATTTGAAAACTTACGGCTAATACTGTACCACTTCACGGGATAATTTCATTCAGCTCATCCAAAAGATATTTGTCATTTGGACCCTTTGCCTCTTATAAATTTCAAAAGACTATCATGCTTGTTTTCCGGAGGAGAGTGCGATTTCGTGCCTTTCGAGAATTATTCTGGCTCCGTATTGTTTTCCTTTGACGCAAATAATGCTAGTTTCTGCCAGGGGCAGGCACTTGGCTAAATGTTGGGGGAGGGGCGCAAGTCTATTTTTATGATAAGATGACGTCATATTTCCAATTGTTTTAGAACAAAAAGCCATTGGCCTCCAAATAATGTGAGGGGGACCCCAATGTATTTGACACTGGTTCTTGCTAATCATCTAATGGATTTTTGTTACTTTAAAATAAGTTGTACATAGGCGTTTCTTAGTTTTTATTTGTTAAGATTATTATAAAGATTTCAAAGACTTGGCTTCTTGTTGCTTTATCGCGATTCTAATGCGTAGGATTTTTCCTAAATTCCCCAAGGTGAGGAAATTCACCTCCTCTCGAGTACGCTCTGTCTTGAACGATCCCTGAGCTTGCTTCTTCAGTCATGTATACCTAGATCTAATTGTTGGTATCTTAGTTCAATTTGCTAATCAATTTTAAGACTGAACGTTACTTACTTTTCTTTTGACAGAGAATTTGTCGAATGTTTTCCGCTGATGGCCAAGCAACTATCAATTTTATCACAGAAGATCGAAAGCATCATTTGGACGAATAGGTTTTCCCTCAAAGAAAGTCATTTGGTATGTTTCTTGTTGTTTTTTTAATTAAAAATTGTTGTATAATGGATATTTACAATCAATATGTGCTCTTAGTTCCACATTCGATTGGCAGGAGAAAAAGAAGTTTTTGGGACAAGCAACAACTTAAGTTGCTTCTTCAATGACGTTGTTACAGGATATTTCCATATCCCATCCACTGTTTTTACACGGTTGTTCTGAGCTGACATCATGTTGGTTTTTCTGCTGAAATACTTTGCTGTTACTTTTCAGTACTTATTGATCATGTGATTTGGCATTAGGCGTTATCCTAATTTAGGACTCCCAATTCACTTTAAAGACGCTATTCGCAGCTTGGTCATCCTACCGCTTGACTAGGGTATCCATATCCCCATAATTTGAATGAGAAAATTAATCATATGTTCTATGATCTATGAAATGTGACAGCTGCAGAAACCGAATTTTTTTCCTTCATGCTAAAGCCTAGCCTGCATCCCAGTCCAGTAATGTCGTAGCATTTGTGGACTTGGGCACAGGCTAGCTAAGGCCCTTAGTTTGCCCTTAGGTATTTTAGATTTAGTGGATTATTGTAGAGGGGGGGGGGGTTGTAGATTAATCTTACTAATTGCTATCAGTTACATGTTTGCTTTGCAATAGATGCCTCTTGTTGATAGTAGTCTGCTAAATGCATCTATTGAGTGGTGGTTCCAAAGAGATTGGGTATATTTGGAAGGGATCTGTTAAAACATGAAAATCATTTATTAATAAATATGTACTGGGTAGGACTGGGTTCAATTTTGCCTGAAATAAAGAAATTTTTTTTAAAGTAGCTGAAATTTAAAGGATGCAAAGATGTGACGGTCTCAAAATTTTTCAAAGTTCTCGCCCCCCTTATAGAATATATGGGGTTTTAGGTACATCTAGTACCGTGTTTTCCGAAATCATCCACAAAAAACAAAAATCTACGGCATGTTTTGCAGCTTGTTTCACTGTTGCCTGCAAATGCCAGCTGATTTACTCTCATTGCCAGCAAATTTTACTTGATATAACTACAGGATTTCTTGCCCCAGTTACTAGTCTTATTTTTCTGGTTTTCAAACACTGGTGTTTCATCTAGGACACAACGTGACAAAATATCAGACTTTTGATTAATAGTTTTAAAGTGTCATTCAGCAGAAAGTAAAATTCTACATTCAGTAAAAAATTGAATAAATTTCAAGTTAATTATTTTTACGTAGAGCATTCACCTACGTTCTTTGTTAAATTTTGTCGCTCTGCTGCACGCGTTTGGTTGGTAAAGATGTATTTGAATCGGAGTGGTCCCTCAAAGATTACTTCTGTCTCTTCTGCTTGTTATATCTTATGGTAAAATACGTGCTATTTCTTTTGATGCGTTGTAGTATTATTGGAACGTGTTTCAGGCGTCTTTAGGCTTGTATAGCTCCAGTGCTTGTGGATCTCACGTTCTCTATGTTATCTGCTGTTTCTAGAAGTATTCCAGTCTGTACGATGGTAGAAACTGCTGGCCCCCTTTAGGCCCTATTTCGAAACAGAGAAGTTTGCATCCGATCATTTTTTCGACGTTTTGAGGCACATTCAGGACGGCATTGAGTCCAAAGGAAGGCCGATACATAACTAGACAAGGGTATATAGAGTTGGATGATTTTACCGTTGTGTTTCGACCTTTCTTAATTTCCTGACAAAGCGTAACTATACCACCAGTGATTTTACTTAAATTCCATTTCCTAGAGACCTTTTATCCGAAAGATAGAAGAAAGTTTTTGAGGAAGGCAAATAAGGAAGAGTTTCTTTCGAAGGAAGGTTGCGGCAATTTCTGAACTCTGTTTTTAGGTCGCCTTCAGAAGATTTTCTCATGGTCGTCCCAATCCATTGATCACATTGATTTTTTGAGATTTTGATTCAGCATTCATTAACTCTTGTTCTCGCTCTAGACCCGTCTGTGACACTGAACTCTTTGAGCTGTATTCTTTGAACGCCATAATTGGTGATGATCTTGGTCATACCCAATCTTTTTTAAGTAAATGCAACCATTTTTTCTGAAAAGTCTTTCTTAGCCATCTCTTGTTTTCGAGCAGCAGATTTTCTTAAGGGTAATCAAATCCCATTTTCAGAACACAACTATCAGGACGTTGTCGTTGAGGTTGGCTGAGTTACAAAGTTTCTATCAGGCCCTGGAGGAAAGTAGAAAACTGATGCAGTCAAGAATTCGGCAGCAAGAAAAGGAGAACGAAACAAGCCTGAGAATGAAGTATCCCTAAGAACAAATCTACCTCGTGTTTTAACATTAACGGTTCCATTCATTTTTTCATTCATTTTAAGAAAATATTTCTCTTTGAAAAGAGGAAGTGATTAGTCCTATGCATAGGAAGTATGTTGTTGCATGGCACTTCTATTCCGTTCTAGTTTCATCTTTTTATCGCGTTCCATCCTTTGAGTTCTGATTGCCTCTGCTAACAAGCGTAAAGCGTGTTCAAACCCACTGTAATATCTTCAAACTCACATCATTTTATAGACAAATATCGCCAAGATGTATTTGATCGGGACTTTTTCCCTCGGATGTAGGATACGTGATAATAAAATTGGTTATCATAAACAATCGACGTCTCCTTTTCCTCATTTTCTTATTGTTTGGTGTTTTTCAATTGTTTTATGTAACTACTTGATGTTGAGAAATCTTTGTTCTTCTCTTATCTTCATTTCTTATTTAAAATTGACTCCATAGAACGTTAACACGGAGTCACGTAAACATGAAGTCACTTCCTTGCCTATTATCGCATCGGGCTGTTCTTCTGCGATAAGTGAGAGAACGCTCCACACGCTTAGCACCTTCTGTGATAATGTTTCTGGTCATTGTTGAAGACTACAGGCAAATAACAACGGCACCATAGCCACTGTGATCATTAACAACTGCTATAAATCTTTCGTTATTACCATTGTCAATAGAACAAGTAAATAGCACACTATATTCTAGAACAACCCAAAACAACAACAAATGGTACAAAAGAAATGAAAGATTATTTCAAAACAAAAATATTGACAACAATCTTTGGTGGTACAAAGTTTAAAAATGGTAATAAGGAAGTAAACATTTTGAAACAAACTAGGGCATCAAGATTGGTGATCAATAAGGCAAGCGGCACTGATTGGGCTACCTCAACAGTCATATGCTCACGTTTCTGATCAGCCTTTTTTCGATCCACAATGGGTATATATTTTTACTAGCTTAGAGTTTTCGATCTATTTTCCGACGTTTAATACTCTGATGAATGTCAGATGAAAAGCTTTAGTATGTTTCAAAATGTTTACTCTTTACAAAATTTAGGCCGTTTGTTATAGTTTGTCACAAGAATCTTGTGGACAGCCTATCTAGCGTCTCTTTTTGCAAACTTTTTGCCAAGGCTATTATTTTCTTGAAAATCTTAATGATGAAGAAATATACTTGTCTAGAATCGTTTTTATGCTTCTCAGGCGTACTTCCAACCTTGACCAAGTTAAAAATAAAAATCTGCTGTCGATTTGGCTTAAACCGTGTTTTTGATTTGACCTTTCCTGCTGTTGTCGCGTACTATTTTCAACAACAACTGCTAGTTAATGTTCAAATCTGCGATCAGCACTAGTCATATCTTTTGTTCCTAAAAACTCATCTACCTTATCAGTCGCCTTGTGATCGCATAGTAATAGTAAAGTACTTAGTAACAGCTTAGAACTTCCCTGTTCTACCCATCTGTACAGTTCTGCCTTTACTGCATCGACAAATCGATGCAAGACTGGTTTACATTAATTAAATTTTTTTCATTATGCTCAATTTTCTTAAATCATTTTGCAATAATTAAAGTAAGCAAGTATAACTTAGTACTCTCTTTTATCTCTTGGAACATTTTCCTGTTAAAGTATTATCAGAAACAATTTTTGGGTGTTTACAAGCTCAATTTGCTAATTGGCCTTGAAGACTGGTTGTCTCAGTCATATCTGGTTCACATTACAAGTGCTGGCAATGTTGCATTGGATCGCGTCATGATTATAGGGAGTGTGTATATCGGATCCATATTGGAGCATAAGTGTATTGGCTCCAAATGCTCCAACCACAGTTAATGGAAGTTTCTGATTGAATCGCATTTCTAGTATTTGAATGTCTCTTGTCACTTTTTGGCTTGCGTGACTGATTAGCTCGTATCACCAGAACTTGATTGCCTGAAAGGCTCATATCACATGAATTTGTTTGTCTGATTGGATCGAATCACAAATATTTGATTGTTTGGTAAGATCGCATTGCAAGTAATTGACTGATTAGCTCGTATCACCAGAACTTGATTGCCTGATAGGCTCATATCACATGAATTTGTTTGTCTGATTGGATCGAATCACTAATATTTGATTGTTTGGTAAGATCGCATTGCAAGTAATTGAATGTCCGGTTCGCTCTTGTCATGTTTTGGCTGGCCTGACCTAGTTCGCATCACAAAAATTTGATTTTTTGTTTGGATCGCACCATGGGTACCTTTTTCGTTGAATGTGTCACGAAACCATACGTGATCAACTGTACCAAATTATCATAAACAGACTAGTTTTCAGTTTGTCCCTAGCTACGTTTGATTTTTCACATATGCAGATTCGATGCAACGTAGCCATGTTATGTTACATTGGCATTTTATTACATTGGAAAATATCTCTAAAAGTCCTACGTAACCAAAAGACAAAATATCCCCGAAAACAATTTCATAGCTGATCCATGCCAATTTCACTTTGTTACCCAGACCTCAAAGAAATTTAGAGTGTGATGTCTTTGAGAAATGTTATCGATTTTTTTATTTTTGATAACAAATCCGGCAATATTCTTGAAAGAACTGAGCTTCGCTGTTGATTTGACCTATCTCGTAGTTTTTAGAACCAAATGATAGTAATCTTACGGAAAGAGCATGTGCTCATGATGTCATATCCTATTTGTAACACGTAACCCGTAGTCCCTATTCTCCACCCCTCAAATGAATGCCCAATTAATCATGTTTCAGATCAAATAACAACCGCCCTTTTCAACTTCCCTTAGAAAAACGCCCCCGTCGTAGAAGCCGTCTGTTAAAAAATGTAGAGAAAGTAAACAGGATAACGTAAATCTTTGCTGGTTTTTTATGGAACTGATAACGTCGTGGCAATGAATTCAAGAGAAAAAATTTGTCTTTCATGAAATCATGCATTGGCTGTTTATGGCTTGGAAGATACACTTATTTCTTGTCTCAACGAAGAAATGCTCTAGTGGATCATGTCGACACTAACCATGAGCCCCGACAAAGGTTGAAAAGTGGGGGGGGCCAAGGAAAAATTTAACACCCATAACAAAAGATTTTGAAAAAAACTCTATTGTTTTGCAAAAAAGTGGGGGGGGGGGCCAAGGCCCCCCCCTTCATCGGAGGCCCTGCTAACGCATCTTCTACAAGACAAGAAATTTGAAAGTACCTGTTCTTTATATTTGAACAGGATAAAATTCAGACAGCTCCATCCTTTAATAGCATTTTTGGAAAGTATGATGTTCATATTTCATTATTTTTCACATTTTTACGATTTTGTTTGCTGTTTTCTTCTTTTTTCTTAAGATAACATTATAAACCAAAAATCATATGCTGTACTTTTTGTTATTTGACTTTTAAATTCAAAATATGAAAAAGGACCTGCTCACCTATCCCCACCTCAAAAATTAAAGAACGCGTCAGGCGTTTTTTCAAAGCAATATTATAAAAATGCCCTTATGCATTTGTTGTTATGAAAATGTCATACAACTGTTCTCGAAAACTTTGCTAGCAGCTTCGAAAGTTTCTTGAAATCAATCAGTTATAATGTCATCATTTTCCTCAAAGTCACCAGGATCAACACACCAATTCGACTTACGGCCTCGTTTTGAAAATTTCTCCTACGACTTTTTTAAGCTCAGATTTGGTTTCATCGCCATAATTTTAGACCGGGTACAATTTTTCATATTGTTTGTGATTGTATTTTAGATTTTACGGAGCAATGAAGTTCGAAAACTTGTAAGGGATTTGACCGCAAAAATCATTCCGGGGGAAACTTTACCCCCCTAGTCGCCAATAACGGTCAAATATTAATGTTGTCATAAAATTAATATCGTGAGCAATACCGTAATGAAAACTTCTAAGTAGACTAAAATCATTGCTCTCATTTCGAATCTGAGGTCAACAATTTTGTACAGTAGAATTTGAAGAATTTTTCAAAATGAGGCCGTAAGTCGAATTGGTCTATTGATACCCCCTGAGACATTTTGTAAATAAATTTCGACTGACTTCTAAGGTGTACAACTAAGTGTTTACAATGGCCGTATTTAATTCACACAATCTTATCGTCATCACACACGTCAAGAGACACACTGAATGCACATGTTTCCTTTGTTTACCATTGGGGGGGGTCAAGAGGAGGGCTTTACAGAGAGGGGGGCACATTTTAAATATTTGATTGGTAAGGGGGGCTTAATAGAGAAAGGATCCCAAAAGAGAGGGACTTAATAGAGCTTTTAAGGTACTTTTAGAATTTGAATTGAATATTACAGTGGATTAGGACAGTTTGAAGTCTAACAATAATTCTGAATAAATAATAAATGAATCAGTGTAATGTTGTAATTTCTAGACTGCCCCACCAAACTTTTGGCAGTAAGAACCTAGTCACTTTGTTTCATTTAAAATAATGTTTCAAACAGTAAAGCAAGTAGTCAGGTAACATCCCATAATAACAAATAGTAGGGAAGACTTGGGGGCCTAATAGTCCCCATCAGCAGTGTGTCAGTTGTCAATGCCTTTGGAGGAGAAATTTTGGCATAGCATCCAGCAGTGATACTCAAATCTACTCTGTGCCATGCATAACAATAAAATAGTTGTTGAAAACCTGGGAAAAATAAAGTATTTGATGTAGAGGGGGAGAGGCAAAATGAATACTGTCCATTAAAGCACGCTATTCACATTTGTTCATGAATGATGATTTGTAAAATATAACCTGCAGGTTTTGGTATTCCTGGGTGAAAAATTCCCAGTTTCTAATATCAAATGTTTATCATTTTGTAAAGTATTTTGTCAATGGCTAAAAGTAGCATCTGACTAAATGATAGGTAACAGAAAAAGGTATTTTATTTTGGCTTAGACCTGGCACTCCCAACTTAGAACAATTATATATACTTTATTTATAGGAGGTCCAAAAGTGTGCATAACATGCTGTCCTAAGAAACAGCTAATGTTTTAATCTAAAAGACCTGTTTAAAAGATGTATACAAATGTGGAAATAAAAGAAAAGCAAAATATTTTTCTTTAAATTTTCATAATCAAATTATTAAGCTTGTTAGAACCTTAGGGGCTCATTCTCAAGATTCCTAAGTAGGTAAAAAAGAAATTTAGTATAACAATGGCAGCGTATTGCCTTGTTTAGTTTTGATAGCTGATTTGTATTTTTCATTCACATATAACATAGCATTTGCTGTCATGAGGTAATTCTTCTCCCTACATGTTAAGCAACTTGAAATTTTCACCATTTTTGAAAAATATTTAAAAAAGAAAAGGATATAGAAACACTATAGAAATAATGGTCAAATAAATATGCATCTGATTAATTCTTCTGCAGCTGAATACAAGGTGATTAACAAATAAGCAAAATGTACAGGAAGTTGGGGGACTTGCACAAGATTTTCAGCTATTCCTCATGCTAACAGATATGTTTAAGGATATATATTATCTAACATACAACTGTCCACAAAGTATATTTGCTGTAAATAAATCTACTACATTGTGCAATATTAAACCAAAAGTTATAATTCTGTAAATTATCTCACGATCAGAGATTTTCTTGAAAATGCTTTTTATAGTTACACCTTAGCTTCAGTTACTACAAATCTACCAAGAATACAACTTGAAGAGTTTTTTGACCAAAAAATAGTATGAAAAGGTGAATAAATATCTATTCCAAGAAAAGACAATGTTAACTTAACTAGCTTCATGGAGCAACAGACAATTGATTCCACGTGAAAGGTAGAGGAAGGACTATTAACTTATTGAAAAACATACCCAGTTTAAAATTTATGGGTCTTGCCAAATCATAAAAGCATACCAATGAGCATGTTTAAACTTTCAGTGAAAATGTGTAGTTAATCAGGTTTTAAAGCAAAACAACAAGCTTTTTACCAATAATGCAAAAATTACCTTGCATTTTTGCAAATTTTGCCACCAAAGGCACCAGAACGAAATTAGGCATTTGAATACAGGTTGCTCTAATTGTATTAAGTGCAATTCATCTAAGGTAGTTAAGAATGGGAACCCCAGTTACAACACACTTAGCAGGAAAGAAGCCACTTTTTAGCAATACTTTAATAAGTCTAGAATATTTCACACCAAACAACCTCAGCTACTTTACAGTACTACAAGCAAACTGCATTTTGCCCATGAGCACATTTTTGGGGGGATTAAAACCTAGGCATAATTTGGGGAATTCTTGGGGGATTAAAGCTAGGCATAATTTGGTGAAATTACTTCTTTCAATACTTTCTAGTCAGAAACTTAATAGATTAGGTGACTTAAAACTTAATAAATGAATGCTAATAAAATGCAATTGGTTTGAAGACAATAAAAGCAAAATTACTATCATAGTTGTGAAAACCAGTGAAAGACAAAAATCAAATGCTTTATCATAGCTAATGTTGATCTGGCTTTTGTTAACCATAAAAACAAAAACATGCAACTCATGTTTCTGGCAAGGTATTAAGATCTGTGTGTGTAGACTCCCCTATTTTGATATTTCATATACCATTAAATTCAAACTTCATTTTATAAAAAAACATGATATATTTCTTTCAAACAAAAATAAATTTTACAAGAAATTACTTTTTTACTTTTTGTAGAGTTAAGAAGGCACACGATGGAATTATTCTGAGGTACATAATCAAAAGAAAATTTCAAAAGCTTTCTTATTCATACTATCTTTTAGAAAAAGCCATTGATATTTCTTCCTAGATATATTTTGTGCAATACAGAGGAAAAAACAGAAGCACTGCAAAATTTTAAACCAAAATTTCATGCTTGAGAACAAATTAGGAATTCTTACCAGATCCAATAGGGCATTGCTATTGGAAAAAAGCTGTAAATGGCTTAAAATTTGACACTTACATGCATTAGAATCATGGAAAAATGTTCAATAGATTGGGAAAATGCTAATTTGGATATCACAACGAACACAAAATATCATGCTGAGATTTATCACAATATTACGGTTAAGACATATTCTGGAGAGTTTAATTACCTTTGATTTTAAAGAAGGAATGGGTTCGCACTTTGAGTTCCAGTATTAGATTGGTCTGGTATAAGAGGGGTTGGTAACAAGACATCTGCCGGTGATCCACTGGCTGGGGCCGCAACAAATGAAGACTGCTCAGAGCGTAGTTCATTTATAGACTTTGCCTTTGGTTTGTCAACAGCGAAGGGATTGGTTGCTTTTGGCACTAAAGTAGTCGCAAATGGATTTGTTGTTGCAGAATCAGAGCTTTTTGATCCCAGAATATCATCAAGATCTACTAGCTTTGAGTTTGTACCAAGGAAGTCAGATTTTTGCTCATTTGATTGAGGTAATACACCACTAACTCCTGTAAGATCAAATGGATTGTTGGCCTCCATTGATTGCATATCTGTTGGGTCTGCCCTTGGGTCAAAACCATTACTGTTACTCTGAGAGCTAGGCAATTGAGAACCAAATGGATCAGAAGGAACATTTTGTAAACTGGTCACAGGTGAAGTCGCCCATGGATCGACATTTGTTTGTGGTGATGCAACCCATTGATCTGGTGCTGTTTTTGGAAAATTTGCTGATTGGTTCCAAGGATCTGGTGCTGGAGCTGGTGCACTTGTTATTGGTGCCCATGGATCTGGCTGGGGCTGTGGGTTGGTGTTAAATGAACTTTGAATTGAAGTAGGAGCATTGGTTGTTTGTGTACTCCAAGGGCTATTTGCAGGTGAGCTAAATGAAGGCTGCTCTTGTGCAGGGGCTTGTCCTGGGCTGGCCCATGGGTCAAAGGGAGTGGCATTTTTGGTTGGGCCAGGAGATGGGGCAGTTAAATCCAATAATGTGGAGCCCCCTCCTTCTTGCTGCATTGTACCATTCTCCTTCAAAGCCATGGCCAGACGTTTCTGATCTCCATCTCCAAGTCTTTTATCTTGTTCTGCCTCTTCTCTGCTCATAGCAAGTGCTATCTGCAACTGCATTTCCTCCTCAGCTTCATTTGATGGCCTAGCTTTTTCATAATCATTACTTAGCTTACCATCTTGACTGTCTGTACTCTTTTGGTCTGAATCCCAACCTGGTGGTGATGAGTTATCATCGGTGCCACCTTTTATGTCACCAGTAGCTGTTGGATAGGATGAAGTAAATTTCTTGTTCTGTCTGAAGTTCTTGTTGCCAACTCCACCCTGCGACTGTGCAAATCTTTCCTTCGCCTTGAGTGCCCTTTGCCGTTCGTTCTTCAATCTTTCATCGTCTTTTAGCAACGAAACAATTTGTTTTGACTTTTCTCTGACGTTAACTCCTTGATCTTTTCCATCTTTGTCAATGAACTGAAAGTCTTTGAGTGTCTGGATAGCGAAGAGGTTTTCACGACATTGCTGTGCAACACGTTCACTACCTGTCTTGATTATATAGTCCAGAACTGTTAATGATTTATACACATGTCGCCAATTTTTACCGTGGTCATTTAGGCGCTTCCACAACATACTCATGATAGAGGAAAATGCCGATACATTATACGTGGCGTCTGCTATCTCTCCCATTAACGAACTGGAAGGCCCCCATGGGTCGTTTGAAGTTGCCTCCCGAACTTTCACCTCAATGTCATTAAAGTTTCGCACGACATTCTTCACCGTTCGCCTAAAAGCCATGACAAATACTTCATTCGACACTTAACTGAGCCGTAAGTAAAGCGATCAATGACTAAAATAGATGCTACCTTTTCTTACAGCTATGTTTTTGGCAACTCCGCAGATGTCCTAAGTCATCCTTGACAGCTAGCATCTACATTTCATTCTCAATCCACCTATGAATGGACTACGCATGCGCCAAATTCTTTCGAATTCCGGCCCGCGGTTTTGTTTTCCATCATTCCAGCCACATCAACCATCTTTGCTGGATGAGTCAACGCGTATTTCTAATTCAGGCATAAGTAGAAATAATATTTGTGAAAAGGATACACCTACGTATATCACTGTTCCGTAGCGTGGCTTTTGATATTCGGGCAGAGGGAGTGGGGCAATGGAAGGTAATGGATTTTTTTTGAATTAATTTTTAAATAGTTACATATTTTAATAAAATTAGGGCACTTCTCAACGTCACTGTGAAATTGCTTTGAAGAAAAGGGCTTGTCATGTCAACTTTTCCAAATCTTGTTTTAGTGTAGCTGGATACTGTCACCATTTGGCCTATTTGGCCTAAAAGAAACAGTTAAGTCCTGCTGAGTACAGTAGAAAGGGGCACTTTAGGGGGGACACCGGTCTTTTAGAGAACAGGAACGAAAAAGTATTGTTCATCAGGGATCGTGGAAACGGTGGGGGGGGGGCTTTAGCCCTCAAAATAATTTCCAAAACATACTTAAAACCAAACAAAAATCGCTCTGTTTTTGGTTTTTTGCATTTGCCCAAAGAAAACAGATAACAGCTCAAGCTGATTTCCAATTACACTCTTTTTTTATAAGAACAATTTTATAAGAACACGAGCCTCAAAATGGGTCAAAATTAAAGAACAAATTAAGAACAAGCTGAGGCTGTGCTACTGTAAAATGAAACTTTGAACAACGTTTTATCTCAAACACGAGGATTTTCAGCCATGCGTGGGTGCTTTTTCGGTGAATATTAAAACATGGCGGCAAACATGGCATTCCTATTCTGTGTCTCTACGCACTTTGTTGGCAAAAGAGGCCTGAACACCTCCCCAGAACGAAAAGCTAGAAATCCCACTGCTTATACCCTATAAATTTAAGAACAAATTAGGAACAATCCAGCCTCAGATTTTCGGAAAAATTAAGAACAATCAGCCTGAACTCAAATTTACTGGTTTTTATAAAAAAAGAGTGTAGTGATTTTTGTCGCGCGCGCGACTTTTGGCGACCGCTTACATGGATGCGCATGCGTACATCGTAGTTTTTATGCGCTCTGTTGAAGCGCACGATCGCACAAAAAAGTAGAAGTCCATCCCAGTCCATTCTACTTTTTGTGATCGATCGCCCGACAGGATTATCACTAGCCAATCAGAATCCTCAGAAACCGCACCAAGACGTGCCAGTCCAACTCAATAACAACAACAAGTTCTCAACATGGCGTCGTAAATTACAATGGAGTAACTTCTTCTCGCAGCAAATCCTGCTGGTCTTAGCGCACAGAATTTTGCGAATTAAACTCTATTTACTCAAGAAGATACCAATCTAAATATTGTTCCAACTGCTAACGTCGATATCAACGGGTTGTAGGGGGAAACATTGAGTTTAATACCGAGTATTTTGTGTATCTTGTCAGAAACGAATCCTGCTTGTGGAACACTATCGCTGGCCTAAGGTCATATAAAGAGCAAGGCAAACAAATGATATGTTGCCACATGTCCTAACGGGTTGGTTTTATGGCGTAGGGCCGCAGCTAGTTATACCTTTACCCTCACATGTTGGTTTGTTGTTGTGCATATAGGTATGCTCAAAATTTAATTTTAAGTGAAAAGATTTTAACTTTTTGTTTACAACTATTTCACAATAAGAGTATTTTTCGCATTAATTTGATTCCATCTCAAACGCAGACGAAACAGAAGCAAATGCTTTTTTATCAATTTTTTTTGTTAATTAATACAGTTGATAAATTCAATAAACAGATTTAAATTTTTCCATAGATTCGTGCGGAAATATTTTTCTTCGGGTTAGGAAATGACTTTTTAGCCCATTCTTAAATAGGGTTATTATATTGGACTCTCTTATGTGTTTTAGGATAGAATTCCAGGTTTTTAGACCAGTGTGATTAAAACTTTTTCTACTGAAGTCTACTACTGAGCTTGAGAATCCGTGAAATCATAAGCCTGCTGTTGATGCCAAATCATGAGTGTCAAGCGCAAGTTGACTATTGTAGATGGCTGCTATTTATGTTTGCAGAGTGGTGTCGAGTCGGTGACGATGCCAAATATCTTATTCACCGGTCTCCCCTTGAATAAATCTCATAAAGCATGTTAGAAAAGAATCGTTTAAGTCGCCATTAATATCGACAAACCCATATTACACATATATTCATGCACGCCTTTTTATAAAAATCCTAACTCAAAACCTAGGTCATAAAAAGTTCCTAATTTCTGAACCTCTATTAGTCAAATTGCGGTACCAAGACCTCCATAATAGCTCCTTAATTTTAACTGCACAGGAACAAGGAAAAAGCCCAAAAGACAAAGAGGGCAGATGTAAAATTTATTTGCGTATCTTATGCTAATTTTTAATCTGCGTAAAAGTACCACGTCAACAAAGAAGTACTTTTGCATTTAATATAGAGAGAAGCAATGACTAAAGTCTTTATTATTAGAATGCAATAAATTTTGTCCATCCTTGACTTTTTGAAGAAAATTTTCATTTGGAGCCCAAATACGTTCTTAGATACATCCTAATAATTTTCGAATCCAATATGGTTTCAAGAAGAAAAACGCTTGATCTCGAATAAAAAACGCCTTTTCTTTCTTTTCACCAACGTCTGTCACTAGAGTTTAAGCATTTTCTGAACATCTGTCACTAGACTCTTACCCTTCCCAATTTCTCCCAGAAACAATAATCTGTGTTCTTCTGAGAAACGTCGATGTGTCTATCCTGAACGGTATAGTATTTTGTTAAACTTGGTCAGGGAGAAAAATTTCCTTTCACGTCGTCCCTAACCATGGTAGGTCCTCCTACATCACTAAACGTGATTCTCTGGCCCCCAGGTTCAATTTTTTCAAGCTGTCTCTGAAAAATGTTATCAACTCAACTATAAAAAAGTCAACGTGCTAAGAAATATCTGTAAATACCTTCTATAGGGCTGAAAAAACCTTAGTATATCTAAAAATCTTTTTTGTTTATTAAGTCCTTTGTCACTCAAACTATTTTCTTAAACCACTCTATAAATTGCTTTTTGGTGCCATCACCCACTGCACACTTTATATTCATTCGCTCTGCTGACACCCCCCCCCCCTCCCAATTGACATGACAGCTTTACGGCCCTGAAACAAGCTGAATATTTCAATCCTAAACATTAAACCAAAGATAATTCAGTCTTTAGTTTCACTTCTCATTGATCAGATGTTGATATTTAACATACGATTACTATGTTTTTGCATGTACAACAGCTACCTAATATCTCACTTAAGCTAGTAGGAAGAGAAGTTTTCTTGGTGCGAAGGTGTAAACAAGGTGTATCTTTCCCAAACGAACATGCTAACAACATTTCTGGAACATAGTCCTACCTTTGTTGTGTGTTTTCTGCACCTATGTTAATCAACCATGTAAATTCTTTTTACACAAAATAGACGTTAAATTTGTTTGATAACATTCAATGGCACATAAATCTAGCAAAAAACGGCGTGGATAAGGCCAATCAATTTGTTACTGAAAGTAGAAACTTTGTAACGATTCGAGTAGAAGAGTTGGAATGTCTGAGACATATTAGCTTGTAGACCTGTTTCGCACGTAGATTTGCCAATGTTTTGCGCCAGAGTTTTGGAAAGTTCGCCATTTTTACTGCCAACGACAGAGACATCAGATATGTTAATGCCTGTATTATACCTGATTTAAATTTAGCAGGCTTTTCTGATCAATATGATTATTTAAGGCACAGTGGCATGCATCAGATAAACGTCAACCAGGAAGGAAAAGAATTTTACCTAGAAATAGCTAAAGTCATAGGACATAATTTGGTACACAAACCCTATCTTGCCGATATGTAAACACGATCATTTTTGTATTGAGATTGTATGATCCAAGGCCTGCATTTGGTGACTTATGATTGGAAGAAATCGTCGCCAAAGGGATATACCAAGAGCAGACAAACAGGGGTGGTTTGATAAAGTGTTTCGTAATGATACACTAGATCGAGATTCAGAGGATATTGAAAGTGGACAACATAAATGCTATTTTTAAGTAATAACTGTGCTTGACGCATAGATTTATCCGTATGTAACAGAAGTCACTGCATAAATTGGTTATCAACGCACGTTTAATTAGTGCCTGGCGTGAATGAAGTAGAATAAAATTTCCAATTTTCAGAAATTGTGTGCAACTTTATATGACACAAAGCCTTTCTATGACTGAATTCATGTGAAGTTGGCAAACGAAGAACCGAACTAACAAGCAAAATGTAAGTATTCTAATTTCGTGCCAAAAGAAAAGCGAGTTTTCGTAAAATGAGATTAAGAAGATACAGCAAAAGACCAAAACGGAATTAGCATTCGAAAAGAAACCCTGCCTGACTTAATAATAGAAAATGTTTAGGAATATGCTGTTGACGATGAGCAAATATTTCTTAACGACCTTTTTTCAGTTTTATTACATGATCGGTTTTATGGATGTCAACAAAAAGGGATCGAACTAGGACCTTTTGTTGACTTGCTTAATGAAAAATTTGCCATATATGTCATCAAAACCCACCGCTATTTGACCCATTTTTATATTGATCCATTAAAAAAGAAGCTTACCTAATTAATCTTTGACCTATGTGATAAAACGTTATATAAGGTATAATTAAAAAGTGAGATTCTGCAAGCAACGTCAGTTTCTGCAAATGAGACGCTAGAGCAAACGGTTGGCGAATTGGATCTAAAAACTGACGAGAGAGATGCCCAGTGAAAAAAGTAAAGTTTCTTTGTGCCTGACAATAATCGCCAACAGTGATGGAAATCTGAGCACAACTCTCGTTGGATCATTCACGCTTCTCTTTGCACTGATAAACATAGCGTCAAATGCACTTTTGATTTTGGCAATGTACAAATCAAAGCAGACCAGGTCACATTCAAGCAAATTTCTTTTAGTAATGACTGTCTCTGATCTATGCACCGGAATCTTTGTAATGCCAGGATTAGGAGTGTTTTGGATCATTGGAAAAGAGCGGAATTGTCTTGAGCTCCAGGTATATGAATTTGTGGTGGTATTCTTTACAAACATTTCAATTTTGATGGTCGTTTGCATCTCAATCGATCGATACATCCATGTGAAGCAAGTCAGATACCAAGCCTGCACGAATCGTTTTTCCCTAGTATTAGCAGCATGTTTTGGAATTGGTTTTTTAATGGCAATAATCTCCATAATTTTCCGTTCATTCTATCTAGTGGTTGCGATGGTTATTTTCAACTTACTCCATGTTTCATGCCTTATCATTTTCAACACAAGAACTCTTAGGATCCTAGAACATCACCAAAGAACAACTGTATTACGACTTCAAAATGGGAGCCAAATTATTAATGGCATGCAAAGCGTCCCAAATGAAAAACTCAGTGCTGTTAGAACGATTCGCTTGGTTTTAGCAGCAGTTTTAGCCTGTCATCTTCCAGTCAACATTGCAGCTACTGCTTGGACGTATTTCAATTTCAACTTACACATCAAGCCAGGAATTACGTTAACCACGGTGTATGAATGGACAATGCTTATTATGTTCAGCGTGACCTTTCTCAATTCCTTAATCATAGTTCAAGGCAACAAGAAAATTCGCCGAGCATTGTCATCCATTTTCAGAAAGGACAGAGTTGATCATGGTTGAAATTACTGCATTTAGGTTAAGGCCCTGTTCACACGATACCGGATTCTAATTCTCCTTTGCATTGATCTTGTGATCATCCCAAAGAAGCTCGTAATTATCGCAAGGAGCAAATTTTTATAAACTTGAATCCACTGCATTTCCTGTCTTGAAAAGAGTGCCAAACTTTTTTTTAAAAAATATCGTAACCATATCGGATTTATGCATTCACTTGAGCTCAGAAGTGATCCGAAATGATTCCATTCCACATTCACAGCCGAATGGTTTGACTCCACACAAGCGAGCGTATCCGATTCAAGTGTCATCGTGTGAACAGAAGGCCTATCCGTTATGAAAAGCGATCCGATACGAAATGAATCCGTTATCTTGCGAACAGGGCCTTAGGCGGTGTAAACCGAATTCTGATCCGTTCCAGTTTTGGATCGATCACGGCCTGGTCATCCTGTGCAAAAGGGGTCTAACTACTTTAAACGATCGGAAGAAAACACAGTACAGTAAAACAGGTATAAGATAAATAAGTTAACCAGAGAAAGTGTATTGAAGGCACATTTTTGAAGGCAAATGGAATTTCTTTCCCGTAAATAATTGAAGATTTTCTTATACCTTTTGCGATTAAATAGAGTTTTTTCTGATTAAATATAAGCTTATCTTGATTGTGATATTGATGTTAACAGATGCATTCTCGTTTAAAAAGTAAAAGCATATATGTACGAAATTGCATTTCAGTTTGAATATGCAGTACGTTGCAAATCCAATCGTCTTCAAATTCATTGTAAGGGCTTTTAAAGCTCAACTGCTTATTTTCATCTATACAGGGCCCGCGCCAGAGAGAGAGAGAGGCAGGGGGGCATTGCCTCCCCACTTTCTCGTTAAATAGGTAAATAAAATCGGCCCAGATCATGTATAAAGATAAAATTTAGGTTACAACAACTACATTGAACCAAAACACGTAAGTGAAACAGCATCAGCTAACTTTGACTACAATTAGAACTAGAGGGGTAAGAGGGCTAACACTTCAAAACAATAGAATTGTTGGACGTCGGCAGCCAGCATTTTTTACCTCAGTCAAATTTCGTCCAACATCGAAATTTACGATGTTGGGTGACCCAACAAGGTGGTCAAACGATCCAACATTTCGCCCAACATCATGTTTCAGATAATTGGCAGAACCCGGTCGTCTTTCCATCTAGCAGTTTTGGAATCGATCTGCACACAAACGAAAAGCCGCTATTGTGTAGACAGAAGGAGTCAGTTTACACACGCGACACCCGGCACTGATTGGACAAGTTTACCGGTCTTGTGCTTGCGTTTTTCTGATTGGCCTATCCCGATTCACAACTAGGTATATATTTCCATCGTGTTCTTCCGGACCCTTATTCTGACGATTTATACTTTGAGGAATGTCAGACGAAAAAGCTTTTAGTAGTATGTTGTGAAATGTTTGCTTTTTCAAAGCAATTTTCAGACTCTCACTTAATCAAAGGTATAGAGATTAGAAAATTGGAGTTTAATTTTGACCAGAAAAATAAAAAATCGGCGTTTTATGTTTACTCAATTACCTCAGATTAAGCGAATCGGTATTTGCTCAATTCATTTTAAATAGCCCCTGAAATTCAACTGCCTTGCGCGTCTATTTTTTTGTCAATAGAATACAATATTCCATCGATTTCTCAAGTACCTCAACTCGAAGATCGCTTGTTCCAATTCATACAGATTTTGGCATAACATTGGGTTGGTTTTTTTTTGTTTAACCTTCAGGGTAGCCCTTGGTATTCAAACCTCATGCGAAGGGTTCAATTAGACAACGCAAATTTAAAGTTTAGACGAACTTGATTTTAAAACAACTCAACAGAACAGCAATTTGTCAACCAACCAACCAGCACAAAAAACTACAACAGCATATCATTTTGGATTTATAAAGTTATTCTTGGGATAACTACAATAAAAGTGACACATAAAAGCAATATCAAAGCTAGATATAAAACAAATAAACGAATGCAATCAGAGGGAACAACCCTATGATCTGTACTCTAGTATAGACTAGGGCAAATATACTGCGATGATCTTACCAGATCTAAAAAGGGCATTTGAAAGAGTAGAGCATCAGTTTCTTCTTGATAAATGCACCATTGTGGGAGTGATTGCCTAGAATCTAGAACATTTATGGTTTTTCCCTAACTCCAGAATTATAAAAATTTCTTCAAAACAAAGGTGACACATCAGTTAAGTTGAAAATCCTTGTCAATCTTCTCAGTAATCCTTCGACTGCAAAACTTCTTCAACGCTACCGTGAGAAATGGTTGCGGGGTAAAAGGAGTTATTTGAAGGTTTTCAAAGCATAAGCAACGATAATTTGTTAAGCCAAAAACTGGGACCCATAAACAAAACATCAAAAATCATTTCTTGTTTTCAAGTTGACGGGAGTAAAGCAGCTCATGTGTTTAGTATGAAATTTATTGAATGACAGGAATATCTCCAACCTTTGGGGTTTCAAAAATGTTCAAAAATTTTGCACCAAAAATTGCCTTGTAGAGCATATTTCTCAAAATCGCTAAACTCGACTTGAGGAGCTGCTCTGGTGCTCGACAAGGCTATGGTCGTAATACTTAAGGCACATTGCAAGAATTGCAGAATGGAGCTGCAGAAATTAACGAGAGCGGCCCTTTTGGATCATCGCTGCCCGTGTCTTGCAGAGAATAGACTTGCTTGACACAAGGCAGGTATATATGAAAAATATCAAGCGCATCTACCACGATGTAACAGTTTTTGAAAGGCCCCGTTAAACCAATTCTTTTCTTTAGATTAATTGATATTCAAAATGGGGTCTCAAGTAACACCAATTTTTCTGGCCTAAAAACATTGTTTTGAAACTTAGAAATAGTTCAGATTCTAGCCCAATGTCGAAATTAAGTTAAAAGTTCACAATTTCAAAGAAACTAACAAATACTTTTTTTAATTTCTGTTTTAAGTTACAGGGTTGCAGCGTAAAAAGAGGAATTGAAATCGATTCTCTATTGCTTTCATATCATCATTTTTTGCACTTAAGAGTGTTGCCAAAAGAACAAACGTGCGTTTGGAACTCGAAGATTGAGAAGAGGCAGCAACAAAAAAAGAAAAGAGAAGCTAGCATTTGAATAAAGTACCTGTCAGAAATTAAATTTGATGGGAAAATTTTAGGAAAATACTGCTGACAATGAGTAAATATTTCTTAATGATTTTTCCACGTCTTATTAAATTTTTGGGAATATGGGTGTTAACACAGAGGGTCTAACTAGGCCTTTTCGTTGACTAGTGTAATAAATAAACTGCCATATATATAAACAAATAACACCGCTATTTGGTCCATAACTCTAAAGATTCATTAAAAAAGGGCTAAATAATAATTCTTTGACCAATGAGATGAACCGTTATATAAGATGTAATTAAAAAGTGAGATTCTGCAAGGAAAGGCAGTCTCTGCAATTGAGACGGTAGAGCAAACGGTTGGACAATTCCATATAAAAACTGAAGAGTGAGATGCCTAGTGAAAACAGTGAAATGACTCTGTGCCTGACGATATTCGCTAACAGTGATGGAAATATAAGCACAACTCTTGTTGGATCCATCACGGTTCTCTTTGCATTTATAAACATAGCATCAAATGCTCTGTTAATTTTCGCAATGTACAAATCGAAGCAGATCAGGACACATTCAAACAAATTTCTTCTTATAATGACAATATCCGATCTGTGCACCGGAATCTTTGTAATGCCAGGATTAGGAATATTTTGGATCGCTGGAAAGCAACGAAGTTGTCTTGAAGTCCAGGTTATGGAATTTCTGATGATGTTTTTTGCATATATGTCGATTTTGATGATCGTTTGCATCTCGGTCGATCGATACTTCCACGTGACAAAGCAAGGCAGATACCAAGCCTGGATGAACCGTTTCCGATTTTCCCTCATAGTAGCAGCATTTTTAGGAGTCGGATTTGTAATGGCGATGCTCTCCATAAGTTTAACTTCATTCTATCTAGTAGTTGCGATGGTTATTTTCAACTTACTTCAGGTTTTATGCCTTATCATTTTCAACACAAGAACTCTTAGGATCCTAGAACGTCACCAAAGAACAACTGTATTACGACTGCAAAATGGGAGCCGAATTGCTAATGGCTTGCAAATTGTCCCAAATGAGAAACTCCGTGCTGTTAGAACGATTCGCTTGGTATTAGCTGCAGTTTTAGCCTGTTATCTTCCAGTCAACATCGCAACTATTGCTTGGACTTATTTTAAGTTCAACCTACATATCAAGCCAGGATTCACATTAACGGTGCTATATGAATGGACAAAGCCAATTATGTTGAGCGTGACATTTCTCAATTCTTTGATAATATTTCAAGGAAATAAGAAGATTCGTCGAACATTGTCGTCCATTTTCAGAAAGGACAGAGTTGATCATGAATGAAAAACTACATTATCTATTCTTTTTTAGGCTACACGTACTACTTTGAACGATCAGAACTAATCACAATGAAATGACAAGACTAGTTCTGAAGGCAAATATGATTCCTTTCATTTAAACATTTAAATATTTTCTCATGCACTTTATATTGCTTGTGCTCAAATTTTTGCTACTTTGGATTTTGATTTTATGTCAGCAAAACCATCTTCATTAAAAGTGCCTTAGGTCTAACGACATCTACTATGAAAACATATGTTACGTACGTAGATTTTCTAATTTCACTACGATCTCTACTGGTTTTGGACTTCGTTCGGGCTTTAAAAGCTCAACTTCTTATCTTCATCTATGCGATGCGAATTGGATACAAATTTAGACTGGTCCTTCATCATAATCGTTAAGCCTTACTGCTCATGCATTGCAAAATTTATGTTAAAATTCTATATACAAATTAATTAAAATAATTTTTTTTCTTTCCGCAAAGATGGCGGGAAATAGCAGAAACATTGCATGCTAAAGCATTTCTTCTACAAAATTTCTCCATGTATAAAAGTCGGATAGTGCCTAAAAGAAAGCAGAATGCTTATAACCTCATGTGGATCGAAAGTAGCGTGAGAGGGAGACAGACATATTGGATTGGCCCCATGATTTTGACCTAGTACAGCCACTTTCCTATTTCTCTGCGTATAAGTCGATATGGCGTATAAGCTGACCGCAAAACTAGCCTTCAATAATTGCGCACTCTGAATATTTTACTGAGAAAATTTACGAATCAAAACAACTTTTGCTGCTTCAATTTAAAATTTTATTTTTGACCAAAAATTCACGACACCGGCGAGAGAAAAAAATTGATTCTAAAACCGCAGTTTACACTTTCCCATACGTCATTCGAACGGAAATCTTTTTGTTCAAATATAATTTTTTGCCTTGATTTCTTGTAACCTAAACTTAAGAATACAAAGCTAATTTTCTCAAGGAAAGTCTCTGGCGTAGAAGTGAAGGTCAACTTTTTACATCTAATTTACGAAAAAAACAGACTCAACTGGTACTTAAAAAAGTACGGCAATCTCTTACTTTGTCGAAGAGCCCAATAAAGGAAGCGATTTTTTTCTATCTACGCAAGTGGCATCCTTTGTTTCGGTGGAAACCGATTTCGAAACTCCTAAATGAAAAGAAAACTTTTCCAGCAAAATGATTTTGAAATTGTCGTCTGACCAAATTGACTCGCCAATGATTTAAAGAAAAAGTAACAATACCTAATAAATAGTTAAGTTTTTCAAAGAAGGGGTGGGGACCGCTAGACCTTACTGGGTAAGATTCGCGTAAACTCAGTTTTCTCTCTTGGACTCCAGTGGACCAAATTTTTTTAGGCACGCGGCACTGATTGTTTTCTTTGTTCTACCATCGAAACAATGTAATTAAAAGCACCTCTCACTGGGTGGGGGGTCTGTATCCAACTGGGTGGGGGGGCTGTACTTAAAACCATACAGAAAATCAACAGGTTCTTGTTTTTAAAATGTTTACCCTCTCAAAGAAAGCGTTTTAGCTCCCTCAATCTGAAATATGCTTCTCGTTCATTGAATATTTGGGCAACGCTAAATTCCCCCTAGATTATTGGGGCATGCTTAATTCTCACAAGGGAATATTGGAGCATGCTTAATTCCCAAAACTAAAGATGGAATGTACGGACGTGAAAAAGCACACACATGAAAATACGATGCTGGCATGATAGTGTCAGGGTCTAGTCGAAGGAAATATGTTCTAACACTGTTTTGTTTCGCATGTTGATAAAGATACATTTTTCTTCTTGCTTGGTCGACAAAATAACCAAAAAAAAATTAAAGAACACGGAGTGAAATGTAATCGATCTTTGCTTTACTTGATGGTGAGTGCATTCTTTTGATATTTTTATTCTTTAGTAAATTTGCGACTTTGGATTGTGTCTGTTGGCTACACACAAACATACGCCATAACAACAATTGGGAAATCGTGGAACTTTCTCGTATGTTTTGGTGATGCTTCAGGGATGACTCTCTAGGCTTTTCACTTGACGATAAGCTCCTGACAGATTTTATATAACTTGGTTATGTCCTGACAAGAAACAAGTGAGAATTAACTCATTGATTAGATAAACGTTTTCGGTCACTGGCTTTTTGGGTCAAGGATTTTATCTTTTGTTGCCGTAAATTGTTATAACAGAACTGATGACAGTTGATCCAATTATTAGAACTACATTAACCAGGAAAGCCGACAGGCAAGTTACCAACTTTAAGGCATATCCATCAATCTAAAAAATGGAAGCACTTCAGCAAAAATTCAATGTAAATAGTTTTTTTTTCTTATCGCGAGCCAACTTTCTCTTAATTTAAGTAATTCCATATACATTATTGAAGAAGAGCGAATTTGTGAGCAAAAGTAAGCAAATTTGAATTTGTCGTAACTTTAACTTAACGAAAAAAACTCACTAAAATGTAGTGACACAATACACTCAGGGCAATTCAGGGCTTTTCTTTCGTGTTCAAAACCACTGGTTCTTTATTAGAATCATACGAAGGACGTGTATCACAACAATATTTCACGCAGTGTTGCGGCTAATGGATGAAACAATCTAATACTGATCTAGAATGGTTTAGATTATTTAAGTTTGATTTAAAATGTGAATCGAATTTTTTAACAATAAGATAAAAAGCTGTTTGGCATCTTCCTTTATGCAGCTGCCACCACAATTTTACGGAACATTGATGTAATTGCTAGTCGGCATCTTAAATTGCCAAATATAATAATAACAGAATTTATTGCACCTGTAGAGAAGGCCAGCAAAGTAGTAGTTTTAAACAGCATTTGCAAAATTTCTCTTTGTTGAAGTTTTAATTGGAACTTATCAAATGACCAAACGGTTGAAATGATGTTGTGGGGCCCGTAACACAAGAAAAACGCCACCAATACCCAACGAATTGTTCACCATAACGCACTCCTCCGTTGTTGCTGTTGTTATTGTGATTGTTATTGGTTTGCTGTAGTCGCACGGTTGTGTTGATTTGGTGTGTTTTCAACTTTTTATAAATTATCGTGTATAGAACAATTGACCCAGATATAGCAAGAATATTGCAAATAGCAATAGCTAGAAACAGCCAAGAGGATGCTATGAGCATATACGCTGTCGCTAGTCCAGAGGCAATTGCAACAAAGCACATGATCAGGACAACTAAACGAGATCCATTCATGCAAGATTGATATAGACTTGGCTTAGTGATATGAACATAGCGATTAATTGCTATGCAAATCATTATTTGAAACGAAGAATAGACAAAAACGTTGCTCATGAAAATTGCTGCTGTTAACATCCAAGCTTGAGATTCCAATTTTTGAACCGAACTAAAAGCAAAGACAGGCAGTACAAATACTCCGAGGCATAAATCAGAGACGCTCATCGCCAGTATCAATCTATTAGAGACATTGTTAAGCTGTTTTGACTTGTGTAAACCATAGATTAACAGAGAGTTTGATGTGATAATAAAGAGAGAAATTAGAGCAAAAGCAACGGAGAAAATTGTTTTGCTGTACATTTCATCCATTTTCTTACCAGTGTGTGCATTTGACGGTAAAAAATATCGATCAAATTGCTTCTAGTTTCTTCAATTCTTTTGGTCACTGCTTGTGGTCACTTGCTCTGATAAAAGCCAAAGTTATCAAATCTTAGAAACACTCCTCAATGGTCAATGCCTCGAGAAGAATTGAGCGTCCACTCTCTGTGATTATCATCCGGATAAAACTGTCGCTCGAGAGCATTAAAAAGAAATTACCTTGATGTTTGTTTTTCGTTCCTGTTTTTTTTGTAAAATCATAGCTTCTATTTACACCAAACATTGCCGGGCTCTCTCGATAATTAATCAAAGGATCTTTTCAGCTTATTTGCTGACAATTCCAAATTCAATAAAGTCTTCTCTTATTTTCTGGATAAATAAACTGACAATCACTTTCTTCGTTTATGCCAATTGCTCTATAATGATCAGAAATTTAAGGTTATTTATTTGAATGCAGCAACAGGAAAGTTTATTAGTTGGTTTGTTTACTTAAAAAAAATTGAGTCCGTTCTTTGTTTTTTGAATATATTGTCAAATCCCTTTTTTTCAAACAGTGACAGCAAAATCGCTATCGACAGCAAGATGTTAACCTTTTTGCTTAATCTAGTGAAGAAGATTAAAGAATTGCGAGTTTTTCGGTAAAAAACAGTAACATGAAGAGATTAAAACACTAAATCACTAAATTGTAACAAGTAACATAACTCATGGCCTTGTGATTATCTTTGCGAGCTTTAGAGCAGATGCTTGAAGGATCTTGGGCTTGAGTCTGAACCTTGTGCAAGACAAGTGTTTCTGGACTTCTACTTCGACAAAAACGTCAAATCTCTTTCACCAACAAAGTTGCTCTCGTAGCGGCTGGCCCCTCAAGACTGACACCACCTTAAAGCTGACACGCTAGATACAGGACGGATTAAGACCCCGTTCACACTGCTCCGTATTCATATGAAAACGGATAAAAAAGTATCCGTTTGTGCCTTGCATTCACAATGCTCCACCTTGAAAACGAAGACTTTTGAAAACGCACTTTGAAAATGGAGACTTTTGAAAACGGAGGCTTTTGAAAGCGCAAAAACACAGTGTGAACACCGAAAACGGATATATTTGAAAACGCTAACAACAGCAACAACACAGCAAGATACTTTGACCGCGCTAATTTGAACAACTTTTCTTAACATGGCTGATTCACTCGAAGTTAGCATACTACTCGGAGGAATATAAGTGGCAGTGAGCTGTTTGAAAAGTTTATTGGCAGTTCAAGTGCTGTAAACCAGCTCGTGGCGTTTTCCTTTTTATCCAGAGCGGATCAATGTGAACGCTTCATCGTTTTCATACCGTTTTCAAATGTATCCGGAGCAGTGTGAACAGTTAAAACGGATCGATACGAAAACGGATAAAAATGAATACGGAGCAATGTGAACATAGCCTAAGCTAATGTCCAATTAGTGTCCTAAAATTATGATACACATAAAATTAACCAATGAACATTAAGACAAGGATCAAAGATCAACAGAACTGTTTAAAATCATCAAATAAGCAGCAAAGCAAGCATCAAGCGAATACATAAAAATGAAATGATTAGAACGTGATCGAGTCAAAGGTCACTTCCAACCTAACGGCGCCTCCATTGCGTTACAAATAAAGATTTTTTGCAATGCTCCATGTACATTTTCATGCCAAGCCGCCAATAGAATTTAAACAAATCAGGGATCCGAATTCTAGCTTTTTCAAAAGTTAAGTGTTTGGAATTCTCGTTTCGAGTAATGAAGGTATTTAACTAAATCTCATATTTTTCCAATTTTGTTTCTTAAAACAATTTTCTCTAATTATAAGTGGGTATATTTGCAAAAACTGAAATTCGTATTTGTCGTGAACCAATGTAAAAAGGCGATCAACTATAGTCATTCTAAAACTGAACGTTGAAAATGCCGAAGGAATTTTCAGAAATAGATTATGGATCATTCAGAAGAATAAAAAACTAAAGAAGAAACAGCTGATTAGTGATTTTGATAATCAAAATATTATTACACGACTTTCGGTGCCCAAAATACCAAA